AGCAGGAATACCACCAAGATGAGCAGAGAATGAACTTKCAGCTCTATCCCTGATGACCCCTTAGCATGTGACACCATCAGTAGCAGGAGCTCATAGAAGGACAGGGCCAGGGCACCTTTTTCTAGGACCACACACCTCTGAGGGAGCATGTTCTTGCTCATGACATCTACACAGCCCATGAGTATGAGGAGGGTGAACATGGTGAGGTGCTGCCACTCTTTGGAGTACAGAAACCTTGGTGGCAGCTCCCTGTCCATCAATATTATTCCTCCTTCGATGCAGTTGTTGACATAAACCACTAAGAGAGAGCCAGCCACTATCTTCAGCAAACCTTCATAGGATATTTTCCACAGCCTGGACCATCTCCCTTTCTTCTTGGGAGGGCACAAAGATTGGAGTGAGTCACTGAATATCACTATGGCCTGATACAATCCATTACAGAAAAGAAATAGCCCTGGGTAAGCATGACCATGGAATTTCCCCATGAAATTACGGGTCTATTTGACTAAGGAGGTAAAAAGAAAATTCAGGACTTCTCTGTTCTCCTTTCCCTCATGGGCCCCTCAAGTTTTTAKTGCTATGCAGAGCTAACTTCTTTCTACTTTTATTACCTCCCTCTGCCCACTGCACTCTCCCACAGAATGGAAAGTTCTGGACAGGTGCCTACACTCTGTGTGAAAGGAGTCTTATTGTTCCATTTTATTCTGGAACACTGGGAACGGACTGACTTCTGCCACAGAAGGAAGGTGAATATTTCTAAATGTGCACCTGCAGGGATGTATACTCTCAGGATTGCTACCTAGGGGCCCTTTAGAAGCTTCTGATGACAATTCATRGCTTGTTTCCTTCTGCTTATGCCCAGTTCTCAGATAATGCAAAAGGTATCCAATCATGGAGATTATCCAGAGGATTGGGTTATGTACAAATTTTTGTGCATCCTGCAAGGCCTCTTATTCATATCTTGGGTCATATACTGAARACAGATATATTATTTATGGAATAAAAGTTATTAACATGTGGGTTTGTGTTCACATATGCAGGTACTGAGTTCCTTCTTGGTCTTATCATTCTTCTGTTAACAGAGAGATTTTAGAGACCACSAAGAAAGTGCTTGCCTCTCCCCCTGTCTCTCTCCACTGGATAATAAATGAACCTAAAAAAAAATCTTCTGAGTTCAATTTTAGAGTGTTATGGTGCAATTTATTATTAAAATGCATATACAGGTATGTGAGGCAAGTAGATCCAGTGAACTGCTTATATTTTAATGTGAATTAATGCCTCAACTTTATTCTCTTTGTCTAATACTTAGAGGTAAAAAGTCCTGGGCATTATATAACAGCCAGCTTCATATGAGGGAATGCATCCAAGGCAAGAATTTTTTTTAAATAAAAATTGTTTATAATTATGGTACACAATAATATTGTTTTCATACACATTGTGAAATGAGTACAGTCAAGCCATGACATACCTGTCACCTTATATAATTACTTTTTTGTGGTGAGAACATTTAAGATCTATTCTGTCCGCAAATTTCAAGTATATAATGCCTCATTATTAATCTCAGTCATTGTGCTATCTATTAGCTCTCTAAAACTTATTCATTTTACATGACTGTAACCTTGTACCTCTTGGTCAAGATCCCTTCTTTTCGCAACTTCCATTTCTGCTTCTGGTAATCACCATTTGTTACTCTCTGCTTCTATAAATTCAAATTTTTAGAGTCCATGCATAAGTGAGATCATGCAATCAATGTATTTTTTTTCTTTTTAAGCTTATGTCACTTAACAATAGTGCCCTCACCTTGATCCACGTTGTCCCAAATGACAAAATTTCCTGTATGAAGGCTGAATAATACAGTGTAGTAATTTTCTGTTCCAGGCTCTGTTGATGGTCAGGTTGCTCCTGTATTTTGGCTGATACAAATAATGTGCCAGTCAACCTGGGAGTGCAGATAAGTTGTCTGCTGATTTTGTTCTGGATATATATGGAGAAGTAGAATTGCTAGGTTATATGGTAATTCTATTTTTGATCTTTTGGAGAAACTTTCATACTGTTTTTCACACTTGCTTCTCCAACATTTCCACCAACAGTRTACAGTCGTTCCCTTTCCTACATTACCCCCAACATTCATTATTTTTTGTCTTATTTATTTATTATTTATTTTGTTGTTATTGCTTTGTTTTGTTGTACTGGAGACTGAACTCAGGGGTGCTGTACCACTGACCTACATTCCCCACCCTTTTAAATTTTTKAGACAGGGTCTTGCTAAATTGCCCAGGCTGGCCTTGAACTTGTGATCTGCAGCCTTCCCGGTAGCTGAGATTAGAGGTGTGCACCACCATGCTTGACCTGTTTTTTTTATAAGAGTCATCCTAATGTGTGGGGGTAATATCTCATTGTGATTTTTATTTGCATTTCCCTATTGAGCACCTTTTCATATACCTGTTGGCTGCTTGATGTCTGCTTTGGAAAAAGATCTGTGCAGGTTCTTTACCCTTTTTTTTCATAAATAATAGAAATTTATTTCTCACAGATCTGGATGCCAGGAATTCCAAGATCAAGGTGCCAGCAGATTCCATGCCTGGTAAGGGCTGCTCTCTCTGTTTCCAGGGTAAGTTGCCTTGTTACTTTATCCTCACATGGCAAAAGATGGAAGTGCAAAAGGAGAGGAACACTAATTCCCTCCAGCCCTTTTATAAGGTGGTTAAATACACCTCATGACTTAATCACCCTTGTGAATATATTTTTAAATATATTTTTATTTCTAATTGACACATAGTAACTGTATACATTCATTGGGTACAATGTGCCATTTTAATACGTGTATACAGGTATAATGATCAGATCAGGGTAATTGGCATATCTATCAGCTCAGACATTTAAAAATCCTCTATACTAGCTGTTTTRAAATATTCAATTAAATATTGTCAATCATARTTATCCTGCAGTGCTATAGAACACTAGAAGCTATTCTTATCTAACCTTACCTGTTTACCCTCTAAACCCATTAACCACCCTCCCTCCACCCACCCATCCCTGATACCAAGCTCTGGTAACCACTATTCTGTTCTGTGCTTCTTTAAGATCAGCTTTTTAGCTTCTGAATGTGTCTTTCTTCCTATGTCTGACTTGTTTCCCTTGGCATAAAGTTATTCTGTTCCATCCATGTTGCTGCAAATAATGGATTTTATTCTTTTCTATGACTCAATAATATTCCATTGTGCATATTTTTATTTTCCATTTATCTGTCCATGGACACCTAGGTTAATTCTATGTTTTGGCTATTATGACTAGTGCTGCAATAAACAAGAGAGTGCAGATATCTCTTTGATACACTGATTTAAATTCCTTTGGATATATATACCCAGTAGTAGAATCACAGGATCATATGCTAGTTCTATGTCCAGATTTTTAAGGAAACTTCACACTGTTTTCCACAATTGCTGAACTAAATTTACTTTTTCACCAATAGTATATTCTCACCAGCATTCTTTTTCTTTTTGTTAATAACAGTTATAACAATGAAATGATATTTCATTGTGGTTTTCATTTGCATATATCTGAAGAATGGAAAGCATTGTTTCATATATTTGCCAGCCATTTATATATCCTCTTTCAACAAATTACAAAAGGTAATTTGCTCATTTTTAAATTGGATTATTTGGGCTTCACTGTTGAGTTGTTTGAGTTTCTTATATACTCTGGGAATTAATCCCTTGTCAGATGAGTTAGTTTTCAATATTTTTCTCCCATTCTGTAGATTGTCTCCTCATTCTGTTGATTTTTTTCCTTTTCTATACAGAAGATTTTTAGTTTGAAGGGATACAATTTATCAATTTTTGCTTTTGAGGCCTGTGTTTCTGGCGTCATATAAAAAAAAAAAAACTGCCCAGATAAATATCCTGAATTATTCTCTTCATTTTTTTTTCCTTCTAGTAGTTTCATGCCTTACATTTAAATCTGATCCATTTTGAGTTGATTTTCATATAGGGTGAGAAATAAGGATCTGATTTCTTTCTTTTATATGGATATCCAGTTTACCTGGGCTGTTTGTTGAAGAGATTTTATTTTTTTCAATGTATTTTTTTTTTTACTGCCTTTTTGGAAAATCAGTTGGTAGTAAATATGTGGGTTTATTTCTGGATTCTCTATTTCTGTTGGTCTGTGTGCCTGTTTTTATGCCAATATCATACTGTTTTAGTTATCATGACCATTTAGTATATTTTAAAGTGATATATTATAATGCCTTCAGKCTTTTCCCCCCTCTTTCAGGATTCCATTGACCACTCAGTGTCATTTGTAGTTTCATACACATTCTAGTTTTTTTCTTATTCTTATGAAGAATATCTTTGATGTTTTGATAGGAAGTGCATTAAATCCACAGATTACTTTGGGTGGTTCAGACATTTTTTTTTAAAGAGAGAGAATTTTAATATTTATTTTTTAGTTTTTGGCGGACACAACATCTTTGTTTGTATGTGGTGCTGAGGAGCGAACCTGGGCCACACACATGCCAGGAGAGCGTGCTACCACTTGAGCCACATCCCCAGCCCCTGGTTCAGACATTTTGAGAATATTCTTCCTTTCCAGGAACATGGGACATCTTCCATCTTGTGCATTTGTCCTCTTTGATTTCTTTCATCAGTATTTGTAATTTTCATTGCAGAAATTTTTACTTGCTTGGTTACATTTATTACTAAGTACTATTTGTAGCTATTACAAATGGGATTTCTTAACAATTTTTTTATATGTTTATTTTCTATCCTGCAGCTTTTCTGAATTTGTTTATCAGTTCTAATTATTGTGTGGTGAAGTCAGATTTTTCCATACATGACATTATATCATCTGAAAACTGGTATTGTTTGACCTCCTCCTTTCCTATTTGAATTATTTTTTTTATTCATCTTGTCTTATTGCTGTGGCTAAGACTAACAATAGTGTCTGTATATATGTGTATGTGTGTGTGTGTGTGTGTGTGTGTGTGTGTGTGTGTGTGTGTATTTTAAGACAGCATCTCACTGTGTTATCCAGGCTGTTCTCCAACTCCTAGACTCTAGTAATCCTTCTGGCTCAGCTTCCTGGTTAGCTGGGACTACAGTTGCACACCAATTCTGTACTGAATAAAAATGATGAAAATAGACATCCTTGTCTTATTCCTGATCTTAGAAGGAAAATTTTTAGTTTTACCCCATCCATTCAACATGATATAGGTTGCAGATTTTCCATATGCAGATATTATTGTGTTGAGGTATATTCTGTCTACACCTAAATTTGTTTAGAGTTTTTATCATGAAGTGATGTGGAATTTTATGAAATGCATTTTCTGTATCTATGGGGATGTTCATATAGTTTCAAACTTCATTCTATTGATCAATGTACTATGTTTATCAGTTTGCTTATATGAACCATCCTTGCATTCCTGGTATAAATCCCACTTTGGTCATGGTGTAGTTGGATTCAGTTTTCTTGTACTTTGGTGCATTTT